AAGCTTTCATAGTTACTGAAGTTTATTTGATTTCAAATATCCTCCTGTACAACATTTCAACACAACAACATGCAGAACTTTTTACCTGGATTTCTAATCACATGTGTGTTCACATTGCTGCTGATGTTCTGGTCATTGTGCTGCTAAGAGAAATAGACAGAACAATTGACATTGCTAAACCTCAAAATTACAAATACTAGGTGCTAAAACATTCCATCTGATCAAAAAGGTGATGTTAATAAACACATAGAAACATATCTTTTAAGTCAGACATTTTCATTTGCACAAGGTAAACTCGGAATCCATTACAGCTTTACCCTCACAAAACAGTTTTAATACTTAAAAAAAATCTTTTCAGAATGTCTCTAAATATAAAATAATATATTACCTGAGATTCCTGGCGTTTTTTGATTGCATGTTTATATAGTTTGTGCAGCTTTCTGGCATCAAATTCTGTAAACTTTGAAACAAATATCCACAAATTTCTAGAGAAATTAAAAAAAAAGAAGAAAAGGCTAGCCTTTCTGCATATGTTGGATTTCCCTTATACCATATTGTATACAATGGGCCTGATACACCACTGTGATATTTCAGTGCCACACTTGTATAACTACATTGAAGTCAATAGATTTGTACCGAAGCAGTGAATCAGATCCCATCACAGGAGGAGGCAGCATATGTAATAGTACAATAAACAAGTTTGCATAATTATCTGAAGACACAAGATAAAGCATTAAATGCTACCAATATATTATTCATTTCTCTTTTTCTTTACTACTCTGTGATGTTTATAATAATTAATTTAGAGTACAAAAGTAACTGGCATTAATGAAAACTCTGCTACTTTAAGGGTAGGATGGATCTGACTTTACAATAGGAGCTGCGTGCTCAGTTCTCTTAAGAGAAACAAGTTGAGTGATGTAATATCTTGGTCCAAACAAACTGTTGGGGAAAGAGACAGCCTTTTGAGCTAAACAGATCTCCTCTTCAAAGTCAAAAAGCCTGCTACCTTTTAAAATCCCATTCTAAAATGGAAAGTGTGTTACCAGTGGTGTAACTTCCAAGACAGACTTCTTTACCAGTCCAAGACTTTTGTGCTACATGCCTAATTGGTTGAAAATAGCAGAGGCAGAGCAGAAGTATCCATGTGATTTCAAGAGCTGGTCATGCATCTACTGCTTTGAAATCAGATGAATATTAGGAGAAATCAGTGGAAAGGCCTTCAAATTTTTGGCCTTTATTGATTCAAGAGAGTGAGAAAGAGAAATGTCTTTGCTTCTGTCCCCAATTACACTTTAAAAGCCAGGATTGCAGTACAGAATGTAGAAGCATTAAATTGCCACTTTCACTATCATGGTTGAAAGTTAAATTTGAAAGAGAGGGTGGAAGGAGCAAGGCTAAGCCTGGAACTATTCAGAACTACCAGATACTATTTGAAGAAAGTAAAAAGGAACAACACAAGTTCTTGGGCTTTGGAGGGCCAGAATCCTTTTTATAAAAGGAGTTTTGCTCTGACAGTCATACCTCACAGTATGACTTCCAACTTCACTGCTTCAGAAAAGTTTGTAGGTGTACTGTGGAAAATACAAACCAAAGAGTATTCACTGATGTTCTCACAAGTTCCAAAACACTGTCTTTAGTGCTTAGTTTACTACTTCTTCAGTACACTAAGTTACAAGAGATTTATTATTACTATGTTGGCCTAACACTTGTGTCCAACATGCTAGCCACTAGCCAGATGTGGCTATTTGGCCAGTTGAGTGTGGCTAGTTGGTTCGAACAGCATGGCTATTTGACTGGTTAGTACTAGAACTATGGTATAGTAGAGTGGTGATAGAAATGTAGCCGTGTTAGTCTGGTGTACTCAAGTTTCAATAAATACCGCTATTGTACATATTTAAAAAACATCTTAGGGTATGTCTACACTAGCCCCCTAGTTTGAACTAGGGAGGCTAATCTAGGCATTCGAACTTGCAAATGAAGCCCGGGATTTAAATATCCCGGGCTTTATTTGCATGTTCCCGTCCAGTCGCCGTTTTTAAATGCCACTAGTCTGGACTAACTGCCCACGGCTACACGCGGCAGTTAAATGGTAATTCGAACTAAGTCCTTAGTTCATTCCAGAAGGAGTAACAGGTAATGAGAACTAAGGACTTAGTTCGAATTACCGTTTAACTGCCGCATGTAGCCGCGGGCAGTTAGTCCGGACTAGTGGCATTTAAAAATGGCAACCGGACGGGAACATGCAAATAAAGCTTGGGATATTTAAATCCTGGGCTTCATTTGCAAGTTCGAATGCCTAGATTAGCCTCCCTAGTTCAAACTAGGGGGCTAGTGTAGACATACCCTAAGATGTTTTTTAAATATGTACAATAGCGGTATTTATTGAAACTTGAGTAACTAGTCACATGTGTAATCTCTGAGAAGTGTAGGAAATGACTGCCTTTAGCATGTTGTTTGGTGTAGTTTGTCTCGTAGTGCCTTATGTATGGCCAAAAAGAAGCCAGAGTTTGTACAGCCATTGTTTATTAAATATAAGGTAATCTAACCCAAACACCATATATGTTATGAATAGGTATGATTTCTCAACATTTTCTGGTAGGTTTTATGGCAGAGATACAGGGGCAGAGATAAGGTAGCAAGGACGATATTAAAATGTGAATGTTTATATTGTTTTTCTTTAAAAAATAAGAATATAATTGTTTAAAGATTTTATGGTTTCTGGGACATGGATCCTGCTCTCGTGCTTATCTAAAGTGCTTAACACAATGCTGAAATACAATAATTAAGAACAGCAGCATATGTAGGCTAAAATTTGTTCTTCAAAAAAATTGTAGCATTCAATTAAGTGATACACTTTAACCTGGTAACCCTGGGATTAAAAATTTTCTGGGCCAGGCAGGACACCTTGGGGTCTGGGTGTGAGGGGAGTTGTGGTGGGCACTTACCTGGCACCCTGCTCCTGGAGGCACACATGGTTTTATGCCCCCCCATCGCTATGGGAGTGGTGGGGAAAAGCCTTAAATGCTGTGTCTCACTGTGCTGCTGTTCCCTAGCTAGGGGAAGGAAAGCAGCATCCTGCAGAACTGCTTCCTCCTCCCCCTGGCAGGGTCCCTATCATGGGTGTTCCTAGATTAGGGACACCCAGAGAAGGGAGATTCATATGTATTCTGGAAGTTCAGGATTTTATTTTTTTGCAATGATAACAAATGACAGAGTCTTCCCTAAGGGCTTACAACTTTTTTTATCTAGTTAGCTGTGTATTTTATTTGAAAGTATAATCTAGGTGAAGTGAAGTCTTTGGTTTATAATTAAGCACAAAAACATATTCAGAGATTCTTCTGATTCTCTTTTGCCAGCATGTTTGAAATTTCAAAGCGAATAGCTGTGAAACATCTTAGCATATTGTGCCAAAGTTAGTATTTCATTATAAAGACAGAGCTGATAAGCAATCTAGTTTCACAATAAATTTTAGTATTTTCCTAGAATGGAAGCGTTAAGCAAATTTATAAAAATTCAGAAGTATGAACTATGAAAGCATACTGAATAAAATAATCAACATTAAAAATTAAATGTCATCTTCCTTCTTTACAGATAAAAATGGATTGTGCCCGTGAAAGCTCATGATACCATCTACATTTTTTGTTAGTTTCTAAGGTGCTGCAGAACTATTCATTGTTTTTTAAGTTTTTTCAATTACAGACTAACATGGCTACCCCTCTAATGCTTTTAATCGTGATATACAGTTCAGCATGTGGAGGAACATGACTCAGGCTTCAAAAATCCACTGTACAATTAATTTTTTTTATGGATCCTCATATGATATTTAAAAATATCCATAAGTAGGTACAAGACTGTGAGAGTTGGAAACGAACAAAAATTGATAGAAATCACTCTATCAGAAACAGTGATTGATTTTTCCCTTTCCCTCATGAAAAGTGTAGGCTTACTTACTTCCTCCACTGCTTAATTTGTTCAGGATTTGTGTACTCTTTTAGACATTCAGTGATGTGATCTCCAATTTTGATCAGACATTGTCTAGTATGTTCCAGCTGTTCCCTTTCTGAAAGACCTTTTTCTGGTCTATCCAGCTGTTTCAGTGCTGCTTTGACAGGCCTCATTCTTTCTTTGCACTGTAAAGTGGAAAAATGAATATATAAATCAGGACGACAAAATAAAAGGTACATTCTAAAACATGACCCACCCTCACTACTATGATATTTACACAGGCAAGACATCTTAGTGCCACTCTAAGCCAAATGAAACATCAAATCTCTGGCTCATAGCACTTAAAGTTCTGTTTTAATACAGGTTTCCTTTTGAAAAATAATTAGCTTCTATATTAACATTAGATAGCATTTGCTTAAATCTTAAATACAAATTTAATAGGTAAGGTTAGCATGGCTTCCGCCTTGTAAAGCTGTAGGCCCCCTGTGGCACAGAGCTTTCAGCCTAATAAATAAAGCCTCTTGGGCTCCTGGGCTCTGTGGGTGGTCCAGGCTTACTTCACCTCTCTCTCTGGTTAAAAGCATGCAACACGAGTGTATCTGGGTTTGAACAGATGCTAGTGGTCCTTCAGGGAAATGAAATAACGACACTACCCCTCTAGCCATCAGGGGGATGGAGCCTAGGGTCTGCCACAGCATCTTGGTCATGTTAGCCACAGTCTTGATAAATGACAGGGCCACTCAAAATGGATCCTCAGCTGTTAGAATGTCCGCCATTTGGTTGGATTCCTCCTCTACCTGTACTCCCAGATTTTGGGCCAACCTTCTCAACAAATCCTGATGGGCCTTTGTGTTCATGGCTGGTAGGGAGGAAGATGTACCCGCTACTGTCTCATTAGGTGAGGCCAGGGATGACTCTCTGAGGGGGACATGCTCCTCAGGCTTTTGCAGTACCTTTCCTTCCACATGACAGGCTTGTTGGGTGGTTGGGGACTGCAAGGTCGCCACGGTCTCGCTCTCAAGAGGAGGCTGAGGACTAGCCCTCTGAAGGCTGTGTCTTGGCCCCAACCTGGGAGCCCCTGGAAGAGGTGTGGCATACGGAGCCCTTTGGGTAACTGAGTAGACTGATGCCGCCCAAGATGTTGGTGGACCCTAGGCCTGGTGATGAGCCCACAGTATCCAGAAGGGCTGCTGCATGTGAGGTTGCCATTGTGGTGGCCCACGTCATCTGAGAGGCTTGGGGGTAGTGCTTCGGTGCCAGGAATAGTGCTGAGCCTAGGAATGGAGACCCATTGTCCTAGATGTGTCCTAGATGTCCTAGAAAGCTACTTCTGTCTGCTTATGACTCATAAGAAAATTCAGAGGTGGACCAGGACAGTGCTGGAGAACGGTGTCACAGGGAGTGACATAATATACCTACTAGTTTGCTTCCTGAGTCTCACCACGGGTGGAGGTGGAGTCGACACCAGTATCACAACTGGTGCCAGAACCGAAGAAATTGGTGGGGCCAGTGCCAAGAGCAGAGGGCCCCTCTCTGGGGGCAGTAACCTGCAGCAGTGCCGACAATGTCTGAAGGGGGATGGCTGGTCAATGTCTTCTACCACCATGTCTTCCAACTCCAGGGAATCAACCTGTACCAGGCTCAAATGTGTTCTTGAAGTGCCAGGAGCAGGTGCTGATGGAGCAACCATCTTAGAACGTCCTTCCTGGGGATGCACTCAGGCTGCATGCAGGGAAGGAGAGTGACCCCTCTCTGCTCTCTTTTACATATGCAGCACTGGTGCCAATTCCGAGACCAACTGCAGCCGAAGTGCTGCCCTCATAAGGAGAAGTTTTAAGTGGTTGTCTCTCTCCATTTTAGTGCAACGTTTAATCCGTTGCAGATTTTACACCAAACTGGCTAGTAATACTCTCCCAAGCACTTTAGACCAGAGTCATGTGGGTTGCCATGGGGCATAGAGTTCAGGGATTTAACACAAGGTTTAAAAACCTGAGGTCCAGGTATACCCCGGTTTGTGGAAACCAAAGTGGAAGGGAAACCCCACTAACTCTAACGGCAACTATACAACTAACTATAACAAACATGAACTATATACAGCAAACCACTAAGGAATCACTTGTAGAAACAAGGACTAGAGCAGCGTTTCTTAAACTTTTTGAGACCACAAAACACCAAACTTTTTTTTTTTTTAAATGTGGAACAACGATGAAAATTTTCTTTAAAAAAAAAAAAAAAAAAAAACCCCAAAAAACAACCAAAAAAACCACACAAAGAAGAGGTCACGGCACATCTACGAGTTGGTCATGGAACACCAGTGGTCCATGGAACATAGTTTAAGAAACACTGGACTAGAGCGTTCCAAAAACTGTCACATGTGGTAAGAATGAACTGAAGAGGCAGAAAGCCAGCAGGGTTATGTATGCTCCACCATGGAGGCGCCACTCCAGGGGCCTCCCCTGCCAGCCCAACTGGTATGGCTGAAGGAAAAACCTCCTGACAATCATGCATGCAGCATGCACGCACCTAAATGGTATGGACGTGAGCAATCTTTCAAAGAAAAGAACATATGTAGGCACCATGAAACAACTGGGAGATCATTCTTATAATAGTTTCATAGGAACTCACTAAAAAGGAGAGTAGAAGCACACATGTGAAAAAGCTGCTATTGGGCTTGTGCACAGCGGATTTTTCCACAAATTTTGTAATGTTTAGAAGACAGAACTGAACCTTTAAAATATATGCCTTGTCCACACTTTCGGTATGCTATTCTGAGACCTCTCTGGCAACGGATCAAGGGCCACAATGTCTAAACATATTGGCATTAACTGAACACAAAGAAGCAGTTTTATTTTAGATCATTATACTTTTGTGTTAAATATAAGCATTAAAATAGCAATAAGGAACTTACTACACTGAATGTCTTCTGATCCAATTCTTCAGATTCTTCAGATATAGGAACTGGCTCACTACTTGCAGTAATGTGAACTGGAGTATCTGCTGGTGTAGCTTTCTTGGTTTTTTCTTTGTTGTCAGATTTAACTTCACTTGTCTATAAATAATATATAAAAATAGATCTGAAAAGGGAATTGAAGTTTAGGTCTACAGTAACATAACCTTACTACACATATGAACCATTGACATCCATTTAATATTTTCTTTCGGTTTTTTGCCTAAGGATGTGTAAAGGCTTCTTATCCCACTTGTATTTCCTGCCAATTAAAGTATGTGGCAGTAAAGGTGTAGGTTCTACAATCAGTTGCCATTTCTTCTAGTTGAAAGTGGTGAAAGCAAAATACCAGTTATAGGGAAAAGTTTTGTTGTAATCTTAATAGAGCACTAAATGAGCTGAAATGCTTTTCTGCCTCAATAACAACCTGAGTGCCTTTTTTTAAGGTATTACAAAATACATGAAACCTAATTACCTTCTCTTCCTTTGCTTCTTTGTCTTTCTGTGTAGACTCCTTTACTTTGCTTTCTCTCTTTTCTTTCGTATCTTTTTCCTTTAATTCTTTCTTATCCTCTTTTTCCTTTTTCTCCCTTTTCAGCTCCCTCTTATTTTCCTTTTCTTTTGTTTCTCTTTTTTCGTCAGCCTCCTTCTTTATACCAGCATCTGGCTCGGATTTCTCGTCATTTTCTTTTTCTGCTTTTATTTTTTTATTTTGATGTCTCACTGAAGTGATCTCATCCTGCAATATTTAAGCATACTCATAGTAAACTCAATTCCTAACTTTACAAATTTTACAGTAGATATATTAAAAATATCATTCTTCCTGTAAGTGATTTAAAAAAAATTAATACATATAAAGTGCAGCTAAATAATAAAATGATTATGTAAAAACAATTACACTTGTGAAATTTATTAGACAGGTGTCAGAGAACACTGAATTGATCAACACTAGCTGTTACAGGAACAAAGGGAATCACATTTAGTTTTCCTGAGAACGGAAGAAAAAAGTCAGATGGGCAGTCTCCTTTTTTCCAGGCTGAAATGTTCCAGTCTCTTTAGTCTCTCCTCATATGGGACCCATTCCAAACCCCCTAATCATTTTAGTTGCCCTTCTCTGAACCTTTTCTAATGCCAGTATATCTTTTTAGAGATGAATAGACCACATATGTACGCAGTATTCAAGATGTGGGCGTACCATGGATTTATAATAAGGGCAATTAGATATCCTCCGTCTTATTCTCTATCCCTTTTTTAATGATTCCTAACATCCTGTTTGCTTTTTTGACTGCCGCTGCACACTGCGTGGACGTCTTCAGAGAACTATCCAGGATGACTCCAAGATCTCTTTCTTCATTAGTTTTAGCTAAATTAGCCCCCCATCATATTATATGTATAGTTGGGGTTATTTTTTCTAACGTGCATTACTTTATATTTTTCCACATTAAATTTCATGTGCCATTTTGTTGCCCAATCATTTAGTTTTGTGAGATCTTTTTGAAGCTCTTCACACTCTGCTTTGGTCTTAACTACCTTGAGCAGTTTAGTATTGTCTGCAAACTTTGCCACCTCACTGTTGATCCCTTTCTCCACATCATTTATGAATATGTTGAATAGGATTGGTCCTAGGACTGACCCTTGGGGAACACCACTAGTTACCCCTTCTATTCTGAAAATTTACCATTTATTCCTACCCTTTGTTTCCTGTCTTCTAACCAGTTCTCAGTCCATGACAGGATCTTCCCTCTTATCTCATGATAACTTAATTTACGTAAGAGCCTTTGGTGAGGGACCCTTGTCAAAGGCCTTCTGGAAATCTAAGTACACTATGTCTATTGGATCCCCCTTGTCCACATGTTTGTTGACCCTTTCAAAGAACTCTAATAGATTAGTAAGACATGATTTCCCTTTACAGAAACCATGTTGACTTTTGCCCAACAAATTATGTTCTTCTATGTGTCTGACAATTTTATTCTTTACTATTATTTCAACTAATTTACCCTGGTACTGACATTAGACTTACCGGTCTGTAATTGCCGGGATCGTCTCTACAGCCCTTTTTAAATATTGGCGTTACATTAGCTCTCTTCCAGTCGTTGAGTACAGAATCGGATTTAAAGGATAGGTTACAAACCATAGTTAATAGTTCCGCAATTTCACATTTGAGTTCTTTCAGAACTCTTGGGTGAATGCCATCCGGTCCCAGTGACTTGTTACTGTTAAGTTTATCAATTAATTCCAAAACCTCTTCTAATGACACTTCAATGTGAAACAAGTCCTCAGATTTGTCACCTACAAAGGACGAGTCAGGTTTGGGAATCTCCCTAACATCCTCAGCCGTGAAGACTGAAGCAAAGAATTCGTTTAGTTTCTCTTCAATGACTTTATCGTCTTTAAGTGCTCCTTTTGTATCTCGATCGTCCAGGGGCCCCACTGGTTGTTTAGCAGGCTTCCTGCTTCTGATGTACTTAAACATTTTGTTATTACCTTTTGAGTTTTTGCCTAGCTGTTCTTCAAACTCCTTTTTGGCTTTTCTTATTACATTTTTACATTTAATTTGGTAGTGTTTATGCTCCTTTCTATTTACCTCACTAGTATTTGATTTCCACTTTTTAAAAGATGCCTTTTATCTCTCACTGCTTCTTTTACATGGTTGTTAAGCCGCAGTGGCTCTTTTTTTAGTTCTTCTATTATGTTTTTTAATTTGGGTATACATTTTAGTTGGGCCTCTATTATGGTATCTTTGAGAAGTGTCCATGCAGCTTGCAGGGATTCTACTTTAGTCACTGTGCCTTTTAATTTCTGTTTAATTAACCTCCTCATTTTTGTATAGTTCCCCTTTTTGAAATTAAATACCACAGTGTTGGACTGCTGAGGTGTTCTTCCCAGGACAGGAATGTTCCATGTTATTATATTATGGTCACTATTTCCAAGTGGTCCTGTTTCAGTTACCTATTGGACCAGATCCTGCACGTCACTCAGGACTAAATCGAGAACTGCTGCTCCCCTTGTGGGTTCCTGTAGCAGCTGCTCCAAGAAGCAGTTGTTTAAGGTATGAAGAAATTTTGTCTCTGCATTTCTTCCTGAGGTGACATTCACCCAATCAATATGGGGATCATTGCCGGTAGACGGGTGCTAGACACTGGTGGAACAGTTGGTGGGACTGTGGTTGCCTTAAACAGAGAGGTGTCACCAGACTCTCAACGTGTGCCTCGAAGTTGAGGGATGGGAGGTAGAAGGCTGGTCAAGGGTTTGTCTCTGTCTGGTTTGGCACTGCTTCCTTCTGTTGTCAAAATGTCTCTATGTTTGACTAAAAGCATGGGTTTGTATTGTTGAGTAAAGAATCTTCCCTGTTTACATTTTGCTTCAGGGACGTAAATACTGAGCATCTTCACTGTGGCTTGGGAATATTTAAGTGAGTGGAGTGATGCATTGGTGGTATCCGAGAAGAGCATTGAGCCCTGGAAAGGAAGATCCTCCACTGTAGTCAGTACCTCCTGGGGGAAACCTGAGAGATGAAAACATAATGACCTCCCCATCACCACGGCCGTCACAATGGAATCAGATGCAGTTTGTAGAGCAGTGCGGGAATTCAGGGTGCCTTCATTCATATTAGCCCCGCACTGCTCTCTCTTATCCTCCAGAAGTCAGTCAATAAAATGTGATAGTTTCTCAAAAATATGGTGTGTGTATTTTGCGAGCATTGCAATGTAGTTTAATATGTGGAGTTGGAGACACACAGAGGAATAGGCCTTCCTCCCCATGAGGACCAGCAATTTCCATTTCTTGTCATTAGGTGTGGTTCTAGCTGTGCTTTGTTTTTCCCTCTGATTAACTGCATCTACAACTAAGGAGTTAAGGGACAGATGGGAAAACAAGCAGTCAGCACCCTGTGGTGCAACATAGAATTTACAGTCTGAACTCTTGCTGACCAGTGGTACTGTTGCTGGCATCTGCCAGATCAATTTGGCAGGGTCCATTGGTAAAGCCAGCTTAGTAGATGAGGAGGCAAGCAGCTATACAGGTTAATTTATCCTGGGTTTCAGGGAGGCTCACTAAGGAAACCTATCTCCAGTACGTTGGCCACCCTTTTATAAAGATCCTGGAATGATTTAAAATCCCCTTCCGCTGTTGGAGAATCAGGCATTAGGGTGTCATCTGGGGCATTAGGATGCCCATGGTGCTGCATTGGTTTAAAAATCACATCTTTGAACAGGTGAAACCAGTCACAGACTTGAAATACATGTTATCTTTTTAAAATTGGTTTACATGTTTGGTCACATTAAAAACAAACAAATGTTAGCAAAGAAGCCTAGAGTTTGAGAGGTGAAGGAGGTTTGTTTAAGAGAAGTTATGTAACCTTCCTGTGTCTTGCTTTTTCCGAATGGAAACTGGAGACAGCATTACTCACACTCAATTGAACATTTGATTAAAATGCTTCAAGTGCTAAAAATGGCTATGCATGCACCAACACAACTGTTAAAATTCCATTTTAAGAATCAATGCAGCTAGTAATGATGCCTTAGACACAAAACAGTACAGCCTTATCTGTTGCTCAAATGCTGGATTAGCATTTCTAGCAAATTTCACAGTATCATTTTTCAGACTATAATCATACTTTATTATGGAAGAATTCAGCATTTCATCAATACTGCCACGGATGCTGTTTTCTTTACAATTAAGCTAAAAAAATTGTCTCTCCTCCATAATGTTTACCTAATGTTAACAAGAGCTATTACAGAAAATATGATGCACTCAAATGTTAAATATGCTTTGTTATGAGAGTGCCATTCAAACTATTTTGTGTAAAAGCTATATTTAAGTGAGATGGAACAAAGCGAACCACAGAAATGTTTCTTTTAACAGACATTTCAAAATTACCCACCTTGTTATCTTCCTCTTCCTCTTCATCAGATTTTTCTGAGGGTAGTGGAGAAGAATCACTTTTTATCTCCTCTTTAACTTTTGCAAGTTTTACCACTTTATTCTTCTTCGCTCTTGTCTTCCTCCTCTTTGAGTTTCCCTGAGTATAAAAGCACCATCTTAATGCTGCCAACTGTTCAAAGTGTCTCAGTGTCACAAGCCATACAGAAAGATTAATTTCTATATTAAATAAAAGTTGATTTTATTTAGACAAGTTACCTAGTTTGACCAGAAATGGGAAAGGGAGCTAGCCTGACAATAAAGGGCATATACAAACTAAAGACAACAATCCTACATGATCTGATCTTATAAATCATTTGATCTAGGCAGACTTGCTCTGATTAAATGGTTAACAGTGTGGAGAACAAGTGGTGGGCATCTGGTGAGGGTGGAGGAGATTATCTGCTAACAAGGAGATGACTACTTTATCATATTGTTAAAGATTAGAAATTTCACTTACTGCACCAGAAAGTCTTTGTGCTTCCTTCCTTGCAAGATCTTTATTGAGTAATTTAATGAGGTAGTCTGCACGGGTCTGTAATTGCTTGGCCTGGGGTTTCTTATCTGGATCATCTGGTAGAATCTGAGAGGGGGAAAAAAAAAACCATGAAAAAAAACAATATTTCCAATTTGGACGATGCCAGAACAGAGAAGAAGCAGCAGCAGAAATACAGAGTACTGGAGATGGGAAAAAGCTGCATAATTTTGGATCCATTCTAACACTACACTGTAAATGTGCAAATGTCCCTGAAGGAGTGGAAAACTTCTTGGAACCCACATTCAACTTTTTGCTTCCTCACATACTAATATAGGGAGTCTCAAAAGCAACTCACCAATACAAGAGTTACCATTCTTGAGTTTGTATTTCTTCTCTCCCATCACATAATTCAGCTAGGAGAAGGTGGGGCACCTGCCTCACATGGCTATCAATGGATGGAACTTCTACCTCAAATAGCTTACCTGCTTCTACTGAGTAGTGGAATGAGACAGATGAGCAAACAGGAATGGGGAGCAAAAAGTAAGAGTAAAAATGGATGCAAAGTGCCAAAAGAGAAAGGGGATGAGAGAGCTAACAGATAGAAAAAAGAAGACAAAAATCACTGAACCAGGACATAGAACAGTGGGGTAAGGATGGCCTTGGCATCTACCAGTTAACCACAAGAGGGGTTTCAATAAAGCAGAGTTGACGTATTATTTTAGGAGATTTCTAATTCCCATAAAATAAACAGTTTCAATTTCTCCTTACCAATTAAACAAAATACATTTAAAACATGCTCACTAAGCTGGATGGCATGACGTACCTTGTGTGTCAAGCTGAGGTCAGGATCCATTTTTATCATTTCCCAACTTCCATACCCATATTCATAGATGCCTATTAAAAGATTGGAGTCGTCATCTTTGCCCCAATCTATATCAAAATGAGCTGCCTTAGTGTGGCATGGAATGGCATATCTAGAGGGAAGAAATCAGAAAGTCAAACTTAATACAGGTTAGACTTCTCTGGCCTGGCCTGAGTGGTCCCGAACCATGGAGTTTGTTGGACCAGGGGAGGTCAAGGCTCCTCTCTGGGCTGTGGGCATCCCAAAACCTGGGTCTTCCCTCCCCGCTGCTGGCCCCATTCTGGGGCTCGCAGGGTCAGCCTCCTTGGGCTGGGATTCCCAGCTGGGCTGGATCTTCCCATTGGCTCTGCTGCCGCTGGAATTTATCTCGCCTCTGGCCACCAGCCCGCTTCCACCAGGGATCCCAGCTAGGGTTTCCGTCAACGGCTCAAATGCTGCTTGGATTCGCAGCTGGGGCCGATTCCTCTCAGCCACCACAAGGACTCCCCAGCCTGGGACTCCCCAGGGATGGGCTCCCCACTCACGAAACTAGGCTCCCCAGCATCCGAGGGACTCACAGCTGGCTTGTGCTCCTCAGCTCCGGGACTCACTTGTCTAGCATCATCCATGGTCCTTCCTTCTGGACCATGGATGTTGCTGGACCAGAGAGTCCCAGATTTGGGAGGTTTGTGAAAACTAAAAAGGTGGGGAAAAGGTCAGGTTTTCATTTGCTGAGAAAGAAACAAATATATTTTCTAACGTTTTCACAATCATTTTACAACAATTTTGAGAATTAAATCTGTACGCTAAATAGGCCAATATTACTATAAAAGAGTATAAGGTGTCTGGGACTATTATTTCTGAAGTCACGTGACTTATCAGAGTTTCAGCAATAACTTTGAAGTCTCTAATCTCAGATAGTTGTGAATAAAACCTTGAAAATGTGTCCTAAGCATAATCACTGAAGTTTCCGCGGACAGTCTTAAATAATAGCTGTAAAAGGTGGGAATCTCAATGGGAATCTCAGGATGCCACAGGACTCCTCGCCGCTAATGGGAATCTCAGTGGGTTAACCCAAAAGTCACATGCTTTGGGAGGCCCTACTCTTACCACACAATCAGTATTCTTCATGTGGCCAGAGAGGTGCCAATCCTAGACATCCAAGTAGATATATTCCAGTAACAAGGGTACATACTGCCACACCCTATACTTCTTCAGTGATGGGAAAGGGAAATGAAGGGGACTCACCACCACCATTCTAAATCAAGGGCAGGGGAAAAACGGAAGAGCCCCCCGACCCCGGCATGCCTAAAGTCCGGATTGCTTTAATCAAGCTAGGGTGCAAAAGATATTTGTACAGGCCAATATATAAAGGCATTTAACATAGTAACGTAACAGAAAATAACTTCTTTTCATATTATATAACTACTACTACTCACCGTTTTCTCTCTTCTGGATCAGAAGGAATAGATTTGTGCAATGGTGCTAACTCTTCCTCATGAGAGATGACTAGCTTTGCATTCACTTGTACTCCTGAAATTCGGAATGTTGGGCCTTTAACTTTTCCAAGTCTGCCCCCTTGAATTAAGAGCCATAACAGTATAACATATCTTGTACATAACAGATAAATGTTACTTGTATTTTATCTATTGGAAACGTTAAAAAAAAAGTGCCTGATTCTGGTCTTAAATGTCCATCATGAAACAATGCACCTTAACATTTTATCCATCCACTCAAATTAATTTTGGTTAAAAAAATTCCAGTCATCCTCAGAATTTCAAGTACTGTCAAGTACCGATAACCCAGATTTAATTTAAACTTTTGGATCCAGTGATATTGTATACCCTTGTAATTCACCCAGAAAAAAAGCTTTAGGCACAATGATAATCATTACCCAATCTACCTATTCAATGTTTCTAGTGTATTTGCAATAGTTAGAATCAGATTAACAACTCTGAAATACTTACCACTTTATGTAACTTATTTGTAATAATTTTTTTATTCCATTTTGCTCTGTTCAGACATACCTGCTCTTTCTTGTCCAGAGGAATTGTCCTTTAAAGCCTTAATGCATCCACTGTGTACGAGCTCCCCCAGTCGCCTAAGGTCTGTCTCAGATTTATCAACTAATTCAGCATCTCTAGCTATAGCATCTAACCTGTAATAAAACACAAATTCTTCTTATATCTTTGAAGCTTTGACACTTTATAAACGATTGTTTTACTGAAGCTTCAGGAGTAGCCGAGTTAGTCTGTACAGGATAAACTTAAAAAACAACAAATGGTCTGGTAGCACTTTATAGAGGAACAAAACATCTAGATGGTATCATGAGCTTTTGTGGACACAGCCCACTTCTCCTGTCATCTGAAGAAGTGGGGCTGTGCTCATGAAAGCTCATGATACCATTTACATGTTTTGTTAGTCTATAAAGTGCTACCAAACCATTTGTTGTTTAAGTTTGTCTTTTACTGAAGAGTTACATCAATCTGCATATCCTACTCCATGTTGTGAGCACTTCTGATGAATACATTTTAGAAATGCTATAGAAAAACTAGAGAAATTGTAAAAATGTCAATAAAAGTGATGTAGAGATCAGGAAACAAGAACACAGGAACAAAGCTAATTTTATTTTTAAGTATTGGAGTGTGTACACAGTGTGTGTTTGAGACAGACACACCCACACCGATAACAGTTGGTAATGTGACCTTACAATCTACAGAAAGATAGAAAGAGATGACTTGCTCACATTATACAAAGTAAGATCTTTTAAGAAGAAAAAAAGAGGACTGGCACCAGGAAAACACACATAATGGTGAGACTAATTGCGCAACTGGGACCTGATCATTGTGAGTCTTTTTATAAACTTAAATTGAACAGGGTCTATGATAATTTACAAAATTAGGTGGCCAATTAGCCATCACTGAAGGTGACTTAACACTGTGGTAGGTAAGATAGTACTTGGAAGGACATAGTGAATAATCCTACAAAATACAAAGGGTCAGATTTTATGATCTGAGGTGTTCCTTTGGAAATGCTATATATAGGGGAAAAAGGAAAAATAAAGAATATTCAGATTAATTAATATTATTAAGGTAACAGACTAGCACAAAGTTCTCTTTTCAAGATATGGACTCCTGCTAAATAGTTTTGATATATAAGCTTCCGAATTGCTACATAACTATAAGCAAATAGGTTTACCTTTCCAGAGGCCCACCAAATTTCTTGTAACTCTTGATAAACCTAATAACAGAAAATAATTGCTTGGTGTAAGTGTAAGTTTAACTAATCAAAGTTTAAAAATTAGAGTGAATAATATGTCTATTACAATATAAAAACCAAGTTATATGAATAAGGCTAAAAAGAAAAATCATTAGACCACTTATCAAGATAATCCACATTTAAAAACAACCGCTTCATTAAGTTTATATGGTAATATAAATAAAACAATAGAAGCTCTAATTTATTTCAGAAATTACTTTATTAGTTTCACAAGATAACAGTTATTCAAAGCAACTAGATGAGTTTAGTCATAAGATCAAATGTAAATTTACAGTAAATAGTTAATTCAGAGATTATTATCCCTTATGTAGTTAAGATGGAGTAGTGATTCAAGACAGATTACAGTACTTCTATTAGGATTTAAGATAACATGGCAGAAAAGAGAAGGAATATTATTGCAATTAAAAGAATCACATGTGGATGATAGGTTATTAAGATATATTTAAAACATTCGGGATAAAGAGGGGAAGCAAAGAATCTTAATTTCCTTTCCACTCATGATCAGAACCTGAGTTACTAATGTAGTGACAAAAGCACCCTTGGGGAAAAAGAAGCAGCAATCCATTAATGTTGCTAGATGAAACAGAGAAAGAATGAGGATCCTAAAGTTTAAAATCATGATTTTAACTCAAAATATTCTGTAAGTATTATAATAGTTTGAATAGAGATAAATTTAAATACTTAAATTACAGAAACAAACCAGCATATTTACAAAATGCTGAAAAGGTAAGAAAGTAATTATTCTCCTTCATGCCAAATATTGTTTTCTGTACCAACTATTTGAAAGGACCATGCCATGCAGATTACTCCAAAAGATCACTTAAGTTTAAGTGATTTCTTGCAGTTTTAAAAACTTAAAGCACCATATCATTGGAATTCAATTATGCTGGTGAGAAATTCAAAACAAAACCCACTCAGTTTTTGTAGGTCTCCCCACAGAGAGGTGCAGGTTCTTGCTACAGCTACAGTTTTATATAAACAACTATAAAAATATTTAGCCTACACATATAATAGAATGTCTGATAGACATTTATCTAACCTACTCTTAAATATCTCCAGAGATGGAGATTCCACCACCTACCTGGGCAATTTATTCCAGTGTTTGACTACCCTGACAGTACGACCCCATCCTCCAGATTAGTCGCAACCCCTCCCAGCTTGGAATCATCTGCAAACTTAATAAGCGTACTTTCTATACCAATATCTAAATCGTTGATGAAGATATTGAACGGAGCTGGTCCCAAAACAGACCCCTGCAGAACCCCACTTGTTATGCCTTTCCAGCAGGATTGTGAAACATTATATATATTCTATAAACATTTCTCATCATTGTAACAATCTGTTTTTGAAAGTGCAATGTCAGGAATAACTTCACCACAATTAAATGGAGAGAGGGGTTGTCTAAGCTTCCAGGAGAAGGACAGTTTCTGCTTTATGGCCAAGAGGCAAGGGAGATGCATGTCAGAGACTGCTGCAAAAAGGGCAGATGGGAGGCAGTTTGAATCTCTGACTCATCCCCTTAGGAATGTCTGAAAACTATAAAGCAGGTGTCGGGAACTTACGACCCTGGGGCTGGATGCAGCCCCTGGCTTGCCTGGATCTGGTCCCCAAGGCTTGGGGCTCCCTCCAGCATTGGGGAGCCTATGCTGACACTCCAGCCCCCTGGGCACACCCCACTGAGCCTCACTGCAGGCTGGATCAAGGTAAGTTGGAGGCCGATCTAGCCCACAGGCTGTAGTTTCCCTACCCCAATCTATATAATAAAGTTGTAACTTGATTAAAATCTGTATTAAGTATCTCCTGTTGTCCTTTTGATATACCCAGATAATGCAGGGATTAGCAATTGTACACACTATGAAACAAATCTTCACACTCCACTTAATAGCATACCTTATTAGAATGGATTGTGTACACATTAATAATCTTTTATGTCAGCACCATATAAATACTTAAAAGAGAAGACCTAAATGCCTAAAATGAAAATTCTTAATTGAAATTCAGTAAAAACGGTTTTACTTACATAGTTTTAAACTATAGTCTGCCTAATTTCATTTCATAACTATGAATAAGCAAGTTTTTTCCCAGTCTTACCGCCTAATCTCTGCATCACTAAATCCTTTAATATTCTCTCGTGGAATAGTACGTGGTCGTCCTCGTTTTTTTGGTCGTTTTCTCTCAGAGATAGAATCACTATCAGAACCAGAGTATCTTCTGTTCCTACTACGCCTCCCTTCACTTCCATTAAAGCTGATCTGGAATTTCAAAAAGGAATAAATAGCATAAAGTTATATGATCAACATTCATAATAAAAGCTTTAGCTAAAATTGATTGTAATTAAAAAAAAATGAAAAAGAAGGGAAGAGCTTTTCAGAATCCAAAGATACCTGTTTTGCACAGTTTCGCATTCTTGGAAGCATATAAATTTCTTCAAGCTCCTTCTGTCTTTCTTCCTCTTCTAATCTTCGCCTTTGGAGCTCTGGAATGATTTCTTCCCAGTTCCTTGAATTTCGTTCAGGCTCCAACTCAATGTCATCTTCATCCATATTTGAAAAATTGGCCACCTTATAAAGCAGAACACATTTATTTTTGCCAATAAGACATGGCAATTTACTTCTATAAACTACAATATTAGAAAAATATGGTTATTATATTCACAACAGCATACACAACTTTTATAACTACAACTCACTACAATTATGCTTAGGTATACAGGCAGTCCCCGGGTTACATGGATCCGACTTGGATCCCTACTTACAAACGGGGTGAGGCAACCCCGCACTAGCTGCTTCCCCCCAGAAGACCAGGGAGACGCGGAGCGGCTTTTCTCAGCAGACACCTCAGCTTGAGAATAAAGGACTGAGGGAAGTGAGGTGTGGGAGAATAAAACTGAGCACTGGAGAAATGTTTGGCTAGAGTTTCCCCTACAATATGTACCAATTCCGACTTACATTCAAATTCAACTTAAGAACAAACCTACAGTCCCTATCTTGTACGTAACCCGGGGACTGCCTGAAATGTATACATTATATACCATTTTTCACATGTGCATGCACAACACACACCACCTTGCCTGGTACAAGTTGGACCTCTCTGGTCCAGCACCCTCAGGACCTGACTGGTCTCAAAAGAGGGAATTTGCCAGACCAGAGGAGGCACTGGTCCCTAGTCCGTCCCCCTGCCAGGCTGCCATGCTGCTTCAGCCCCGACAGTCTGGACTGCCGTATCCCTGGCCCGCTACTGGGGCTGCCCCGGCTGTGCATCTCCAGCCCTGGCCTCAGAAATGGGGCTGCCATGGCTGCCGCATCCCTGGCCCCATGTCCGCTACCACGGCTATTGTGTTCCCGACCCCACTACTCGGGCTGCTATGGCCCTGGCTGTGCTACCAGGGCCACCAGCTCTCTTGCCACTGGGGATCCCAGCCAGGACTCCCTGGTCCAGGAACATCCATGGCCCTGCCTGACCACAGATGTTGCCAGATGAGGAAGTCCCGGTTTTGGAAGGTCCAACCTGTAGTGACAAAATTGTAGTCATATGATCATTTCATGATGATACTATAAGGCAGATGGTGCCTAACTGTACATTTCTTATAGTATATTTGAACTTTAAGTGTAACTTTGATTCTATATTTTTGAACAGTATAAAGCTTATTTCTAAGATAATTACAACATTCTTGTCATGTTTTCTACTGTTAAATTATTGATAAATCCTTTTATGTCAAATTCCATTTTGATGGAGCTTTTTCCTCGGGAATTCATAGAATCATAGAATACTAGGACTGGAAGGGACCTCGATAGGTCATCGAGTCCAGTTCCCTGCCCTCATGGCAGGACCAAATAAATGTGCATCACGGATGGTCTAGACAGAATCTAACCTACTCTTAAATATCTCCAGAGATGGAGATTCCACAACCTCCCTGGGCAATTTATTCCAGTGTGACTACCCTGACAGTTAGGAATTTTTTCCTAATGTCCAACCTAAACCTCCCTTGCTGCAGTTTAAGCCCATTGCTTCTTGTTCTATCCCCAGAGGTTTCCCTCCTCCTTATGACACCCTTTTAGATACCTGAAAACTGCTATCATGTCCCCCCTCAATCTTCTCCTTTCTAAACTAAACAAACCCAATTCCTTCAGTCTTCCCTCATAGGTCATGTTCTCTAGACCTTTAATCATTCTCGTTGCTCTTTTCTGGACCCTCTCCAATTTCTCCACATCTTTCTTGAAATGCGGTGCCCAGAACTGGACACAATACTCCAACTGAGGCCTAATTAGCGCAGAGTAGAGCGGAAGAATGACTTCTCGTGTCTTGCTCACAATACGCCTGTTAATGTATCTCAGAATCATGTTTGCTTTCTTTGCAACAGCATCACACTGCTGACACATATTCAACTTGTGGTTCACTAGAACCCCTAGATCCCTTTGTGCCATACTCCTTCCCAGACAGTCACTTCCCATTCTGTATGCATGAAACTGATTGTTCCTTCCTAAGTGGAGCACTTTGCATTTGTCTTTATTAAACTTCATCCTATTTACCTCAGACCATTTCTCCAATTTGTCCAGGTCGTTTTGAATTATGACCCTATCCTCCAGATTAGTCACAACCCCTCCCAGCTTGGTATCATCTGCAAACTTAATAAGCATACTTTCTATACCAATATCTAAATCGTTGCTGAAGATATTGAACAGAGCCGGTCTCAGAACAGACCCCTGCGGAACCCCACTTGTTATGCCTTTCCAGCAGGATTGTGAACCATTAATAACTACTCTCTGAGTACAGTTATCCAGCCAGTTATGCACCCACCTTATAGTAGCCCCATCTAAGTTGTATTTACCTAGTTTATTGATAAGAATATCATAAGAGACTGTATCAAACACCTTAATTCTTTTGACACTGTCAAATTTTTCCTCGGGAATGTAAACAAGACGGGCAAATGGTTATTTTTACAGTTTATAATTCAGCTAAACCCAAGTGGAATTTCATTGGATAAAGAAAAGACACTTTGCTAGCCCAAGAGCTTTCTCCATGTGAAACTTCAAAGGTTTGCTGCAAGCAATGAAGGTGTTAAGGATTTTCCAAATAAACCACCACAAGAAGCTCTTAAAAATGAATGTATTAAGCAATCTAAATCTAAAAGATGTGACTAGCTACCATTAGTATGAAAGAGCTTAGACCTGAACATTATTTTAATATCATGTTAGATGTTACGATGTGTCAATCTTGGCATGAATAATTTATAAAAATCACAGTGAAGTTGTAACTGAAGGCACAATAGGTCATTACTTGATGTCCTACTGATGAGGCAAAATAAGAACAGCTTAGGTTTTTTAAAACCTTATATCAGCAGTCACCAACCAGTTGATCGGGATCTACCGGTAGATCTTGGAGCCTCTGGCAGGTGATCCTGACTGGTTTGGCCAAGAGGCTATCAAGTGCGAGCACTTCAGCTGCCCCTCCCCCCACTGCTGCTCCTCTCCTGCCCTTTGCCTTGGAGCTGCCCCTTCCCCTGGGGAGCCTCCTGCTTGCCGTGCAAGGCAGGGGAGGGAGGCGAGGGTGCTGATGTCATGGTACCCCCTCCCACTCTGAATCCTTTCTCCACAGAGCAGAGAGGGGGCACAACAGGACTTGGGATGGAGTTTACTGGCTGCTTCTGGGAATGGACCAGGGTCAGAGCAGGGGTAAGCCCACCTTAGCTCCACTGCACCACCACCCAGGAGCCACCTCAAGCCCCCTCCTGCACCTCAAGCCCCTGCCCCAGCCCCGAGCATCCCTGCATCCAAACACCTTCCCATAGGTTGCACCTAGAACCCGTCCTACTTCCCAACTGCCTGCCCCAAGCTCAGCTCAGAGCCTCTCTCACACTCCAGATCCCATAATCCAAGACCAGAGCCTGCACCCCAACCCTCGGCCCCAGCCTGGTGAAAGTGAGTGAGGATGGGCAAGAGAGGGAGGATGGAGTGAGCAGGGGCGGGGTCTTGGAGAAGGGACCGGAGGGAGGTGGGACAAGGGTATTTATATTTGAGGTAGATCTTGGACTGCACTTAAATTCAAAAAGTGATCTCGTGCTTAAAAAGGTTGGAAACCCCTGCCTTATATTGTAGACAACCACCTTGGGCACATAAAAAGAGATTTCTGGAAAAAAGTGTAGTGAATTTCCTTAATTTGATATGACTGTTACATACAAATAGAGATAAGATGGATATATTGGAGATTTCTGTAACCAAGACTCCCCAGCTGATCCTGGGCTCCCTGCGGCATTTCAGCGGATCCTGGGATCAGCTGTGGAGTCTCCAGCTGATCCTGGGTTCCGCTGAAATGCTGCGGGGAACCTGGAATCAGCTGGGGAGTCCCGCGATGACCCTGGGCTCTATGCTGCGCTGCGGCTATGAAATGCACAAGAGCCCTCACTGGGGACTCTTGTACATTTCAAAGCTGGCACACTACGTGCAGCCCTGAGTCAGCGGGACTTCCCACTGGCCCCGGGGCTGCATGTGGAGTTCTGCATTCCTCCACAGGGGCTCTTGTACATTTCAAAGGAGGGATGCGAAAGTGCCTATTGACTAGTCAAGTAGTCGATGGAAATTCCATTGACTACTCAACTAGTCAATTAACCGATATTTAACATCCTTATTGTACAAGAAACTGCCACTGACAGAAATAAAGAAAGAGTAGTACCTTAAACTGGGAAAGCAACTCATCCCCTACTGTTAATGGGCCTGGCTCATTTTCTCGTGTTTCAGCCCTCTTCAAGATTTCATCTATATCCATTTCCTGAAAAAAAAGAGAACATTTCTCTTTTATCATTAAAGGACTAAAAACAAGATTAGATTGATGTGTATGTGGAAAGTTAGCCCGGCCTACCTGCGGTTCCTGCTCTTCTCCTTCAGGTTCCTTAAAAAGTTCTTCAGCACCAAACTTTAAAATTGCTGACAATTCTTCCTTATTAAAAGGAGTAGAGCTGAAAATACAAACAATAAACATTTTCTACTATTTATAAAAACACTAACTTAATATTAGCAAGACAAATTTCTCCATAATTCAACCAATTTTTCGTCTCACTTTTCTGCACTGTCAGAAAAAGTTGCATCTAACACGTAATATGAAAAAAAGTTTTTGAAAGTAGCAAAAGTAATTTTGAATCAGAATTAAGAATTCTTTAAATTTTACATATCCAAATTCACAAGAGATACTTCCGCATACAACATCTAAAAAGTAAAATTATTTTTAGTCGATGTTGATATGTTATCACCCTTTCTGAATTGTGCATCAGTATACCTTGAAGGAGTGGAACCTGTGTGAAGTACAGTCTTCCCTGTAGTGTCCATTCTCTGAATTACTAAATGATCTAACACCATCTTCTTTTTCGCTCTTTCAAGAATATCCTCCTCTACAGATCCCTTTGTGACTAGTCGATAAATATTAACCTACATACAAAAAAATATAAACTTTACATAAACATTTGGAAATTACACATTAAAACTGTATTTAAATAAATCTAAAATTAACAAATATTATGGAAAAAGGGAAAGAAAAAATAAAGATGCCAAATCTTTGTTTTCAATGTCCTAATTTTTTGTTAATTTGTTTCCAGATTTAAATTCATTTTAGAGATTAAGTCAGCTCTCTTACTCAAATATCTCCGTAAGCAGTTTCCTAAGTAATGTAATTCTAGAACCTAAACCCCAGCGATGAGGCACATAGATTCAGCTATCTTCTAGAATAGCATCCATGCACAATGTATGCTTAAATCATGCTACGGTTGTGGCAGACCTATAACTTGCCCCATACTAATGGCAACTATCCTCTCATATTCATTGCTATGAAAAAGCAAGTTCCAGATTCTCAATGAAAATGTCCTGTTTTAGTCAATATAAAGCTCAATTAAGCTCTAATACAGAAAAAAATTTCATATCACATTTAATGTAGGGAGCACAGCAGCTTGAATCTACTATTATAATCTTACTAGTGTGACAATGCGCATTAACTAAAAAAATTGTTCGCACAATTACATTTTCAATAGACACGTCGTTGCTCTAATGTTGCAGCTCAGTCCCAAGATATTAAAGAAACAAGGAAAGTTCACCTCTCCACCACCAAAAGTTGGTCCAAGAAAAAGTATTAGCTCACTCACCTTGTGTCTCTAATTGTTCTAATGTATTTTACAAATGAAAATTCTTTACTATCAGTTAGTAAAGTGAGCATCCTACTTGCACAGATGTTATATATGTATTATATACAAAAACACACAAACACCTTATATTGAGAATTATCTATGAACCCAAAATTTATTGATCTAAAAATGTACAGACTTTGGCTCTCAATCCTGACCTGACAGACCCCCTATTAACAGGTTCAGGGCTTAAAGCTGGAATATACATACCTGTTTCTTTTGGCCAATTCTATGAGCTCTAGCCTGTGCCTGCAGATCATTCTGGGGGTTCCAGTCAGAATCAAATATAACTACTGTGTCAGCAGATGCCAAGTTTATACCTAGACCTCCAGCTCTTGTAGACAGTAAAAAGCAAAAATCCTGTAAGTAGAAGACAAAGAAATGCATTATGAATATGGCATCAAAATCCATCCCAAATCAATCTGGAACTTAAATGAATTTAGATTGCATAAGCTCTTTGGGGAAGAAACAATCTTTTAAAAAGTGTATTTGTGTAGGGCCTACCACAGTAGAATCCTGGGTCTATAACTGTAGCTTGCTCCTGTTGCTACCACAATACAACTAATAAATATTGATATCAAGTACATTTTTTAAAGTAAATATTAAGGCTTTTTATGCTGATGGAAATCCCAAGAATGTGGGACTGCCTTCAACAAAAAGTGAGGATGAATCTGTCTTGCTAAATCTAGATAACCTTCACAAAGAGATAAGTTATCTCTTCCTAATGTTAAATAACAAAAAAAGCCAGAATCCTAGAAGGTAGATACCCAACAGAAAGAATAAGTGACATAAGTAAGTTATGAAGTAGAGTATTTGTGACCATTTGGATAAAACTAAAATCTTGTCTTTTACTGTAATAATTTTTATCATAATTATTAATTGCAAGAAATAAAATATAAGTAATAGAAAAAGACACAGCAAATTCCACAAGTGAAAACACATAGTAGCCTACCTCTGAGCCTTCTGCATTAAAATGATCCAGTGCTTGCTTCCTCAATTCCCCTTTTATTGATCCATCTAATCTCTAGAAAGATTGAATGTGCCCGTTAAAATATAAATCCATATAAAAGTTAGTTCTTACAATGTACAGGTTGAACATCTCTAAACCGGGATTCTCTGGTCCAGCAACTTCCATGGTCTGGCAGGGCCAAAGAGTTCTGGTGGAGAGCTGGCTGCTACGAGACCAGCAGGCTGGCAGGGTAGCGGGCTACTGGCAGTGAACTGTCAGCGGGGCCCCTGTTCTGGCAAAAACCCTCATCAAGGACGGTCAGGTCCCGAAGGTGGTGCACCAAGGAGGTACAACCTGTTCCACTAATTACAGTAGGTGTAGAAGAGCCTAAGTCTTCTGTTCATAATTACTTCTAAGTAAAACTGTAAAGATAATTTGGAAAGGCACTTTTCTGCTAAATAAACATGATATTAAGACAGTATATAGTGAAAGAGAATGTGAACTCTTTAGGCCAGGAGTGGGCAATAATTTTTGAAGGGAGGACACTTCAAAAATTTTCAAAGTGGTTGTGGGCTCTCCTGGAAATGCTGGGGCCTTGGGCAGAAGGGGCAGGCTCTTTAAATAGAAAGAAGTGAAAGAGCTCATGCCTCCTCTGTGGCCCCAAGCAGCGTGGCAGGGGTGGCTTCTGCAAGCCCTTTCAATTGTTTCTATTTAAAAGGCTCACATCTTAGCAGCTGCCAGGAAGGCACAACCCTTTTAAATAGAAGCAGCTGAAAGGGCTCATGTCTCCGTGGCTCCCAGGCAATGCATTAGGACAGGGATGGCCAACCCATTAAATGAAGAGAGCCAAAACAGCAGCAGAAAAAATGTGAAGAGCCATACCAGCCAGAGTTGTTGAGAAAAATGAGAACGAGAGAAAAAGAAAGGTGATGATCCTTTAAAAATGTTAGGCTTTTTGACCACATCAGGCCCCCACTGGCCACCACCATCTTGCTGACGCCATTTTGAATTGCCACACCAGATGCCTCCCCTGCACCCACTGAGCACAGGGAGCAGGGGAAACTCAGCGAGCCGCAGGGGAGGCTTTGTGAGCTGCACTTTCAAGGGTTAAAGAGCCGCATGTGGCTCGTGAGCCGTGGGTTGGCCACCTCTGCTTTAGGGGATGGGGACGGGAACTGCCGCACAGGCTGGATAAAAGAGGTAGGTGGGCCGGATGTGGCCCACTGACAGGCTTTTGTTCAGTCTTGACTTAGGCCAGTACAAGAGAACAAGAACAAACTTTTACCTGAAAAGGAAACTGACGATACTTCAAATATTCTGCTAGGATGTCCAGCATCCTCACCATCTGAGAGAAAATAAGAACTCTGTTGCCACGCTCCCGTAGGCGAATCAGTAGCTTATCAAGAAGGATTAATTTCCCGCTACTACGGATTAAATGCTGCAGGAATAATAAGTGTCTTTATTACCAAATGAATCCACATAAATTTGTATTCGGTGACCAGAAGAGTACATTTTTATAAGATAAATAACAGAGTACTTGTGCAATAAGCAAAAGTTGAATAATTAGTAAATCAAATAAGCAGGACATTATATTCAATTCCACCTCAGTATAACAGGACAGTATGAATTAAGCCTGCCTCAAGCAGGCAAAAGTAAGCAATGAGAGCCATGGCTGTTAGGTAGATGATGAGAGCTTTATTAATAAAGTATTTGTGCACAATTAAAAAAAAAACATCAAGTACAATCAGAAGGCAACTTTTTGATACCTAAAATATTTAATGTACAATGACACCTAACTCTTCAAAATATAATTTGCTGGGCTGTCCTAGTCAGTAACAGTAGTCTGAAGAATGTTCATACTATTTTAATAGAAAACTTCACTGGAACTTTCAATTAAGTCAATTTCATTCACTTCGATTTACTAAACATAAGGCCCCTTTAATTTTCTTTTGCTCTTTACTGATTTTTAACAAAAAAATACCCATATTTTACACTTTTTTTAAAACTAATTTTCACCTGAATTTTGGACCACTCAAATACATGAAAACATTGATTATGTTAAGAAAATCCAATATATTACATTAGTTATATATGTGTGTATATTAATATAGCCCTAAGTGCATATGTGAGGCTGACTATTAAAGAAGCATAGTATCTGATACTCATATGCACGTGTGTGTGTGTGCAAGAGAAAGACTTTTTGAATCCCCAAAAAAGTAGTTCTAGAATTCTCTGGATTTTGCTCCCTGCTGTGGAAGAAGAGATGAAGAGTTGGTAATCAGACCTGACCTCAATGGTAACAAGATTGCTTTCTTTTAAAAGAAACGTTTTATGAAAAATTGTAACATGGTTTTATGAAACTAAACACATTTAACTAAATAAACAACTACAGCATTAAAACCTGTTTTTCATTTTAATACTCTTACTTTTCTCTATTTTTTTCTGCCTTCCTGACCCTGAACATTAAACCCATTATTTATCCAGGACATCACCATTAGGCACCAATTTTTCCCAGTCTTTAATTTTTCTAATACATACTGGTATTTTACTGGGAAATTTTAAACAATTTAAAAACTGAAAACAAAGGATCTTGACTAGACAAAGTCAGATTTGTAACTAAATACAATTGCTATAGAACTATGTTACTACCCTAGATCAGTGTTTCTCAACCAGTGGTATGAGTCCCCTAAAGGGTACTCGAGAGAAGTCTGGGAGGTATGTCAACACAATTTGAAGAAATTTGAAGAAAACTGAATTTTTGTTTTAAATTTTGCAGTGCTTTATTATTTGTGTACTTTTTACACCCAAAAATTTCATCGTCCGCCCAGCTATGATTAAATTGTATAGACAAATGTGTTGCAATGGACGAAAAATTTGTGTGTGTCTGAGAACTGTAGGTACTGGGGGTACTTTTTTTAAAGGGGTACTTTATAAAAAAAGGTTGACACACACTGCCCTAGATGATGTTCAAAAGGCAGAGAAGTTATCTGGCTTGTTTGTCTGTTTGTTTTAACCAGGAACAACAATCAGATATTATGGTATTTGAGTGTCTTAAAAGTAAAAAGTAAAACAACTTAATGCTTTAAAAGTGAGATAGTATCATGGTGAAACTTGGAACAATATACGAGTGCCTTAAAAGTTCCCCTCTCATCACAACCAATCCTATCCTTCTTCATAAAAAAAAATTACATGACAACTAATTTTTTCAGGTATCTAAAAGGGTGTCATAAGGAGGAGGGAGAAAACTTGTTGGCCTCTGAGGATAGAACAAGAAGCAATGGGTTTAAACTGCAGCAAGGGTGGTTTAGGTTGGACATCAGGAAAAAGTTCCTAACTGTCAGGGTAGTCAAATACTGGAATAAATTGCCCAGGGAGGTTGTGGAATCCCCATCTCTGGAGATATTAAGAGTAGGATGTCTTGAGGTCCCTTCCAGTCCTAGTATTCTGTGATTCTATAACTAGTTGGATCTGTTTAATTTTTAGTTTAATTGCCCGGGGGCATGCTGAATATAGCTGAGTTCCTGGAAAAAGTATGCTGTCCCACAAGTGCAGTACACATTGAACTGACCACTAGGGATGCGAACGGGTAAAAAGTTACCTGAAGAATGGTCTGCTGCGGGCGAAGGGCTGCTCCAGCTCTCATGGCTCGAGCTGGGAGCCAGCCCCAGCCTTGGGGTTGGGAGTCAGAGCCAGCTCCAATCCCAGTGCAGAGCTGGGAGTGTGAGTCCTGGGGGGCTGGAGCCATGAGATCCTGCTAGTCAGTTTACTGGTTAAATGTTAGATTAACCTAAACGTAACTGGTTAACTTAGCATTTTCCAAACTATGGGCCGTGGCCCGGTACCAGGCCACGGCAAAAATATACCGAGCCTCAGCATGGATGCCAGTGTTCTGGGCTCCAAGTATGGCCGTGCGGCACCGCGTCCCCAATCCCTGGCCTGGGCTGGAGCTGGATGGAGGATGCAGCTGGGAGCTCCGATCTCCCAGCGTGCCCGTACGGCGCTGCATCCCCAAACCCTGGCCCGGGCTGGACGGAGGATGCGGCTTGGAGTTCTGGGCTCCTGGACTGCCCATGTGGTGCCGCGTCCCCAAGCCCTGGGCCGGGCTGGATGGAGGATGCAGCCGGGGTTGCTGGATGGCGGTGGTCTCCATGGGTGAGTGGCAGACTATTACTTATGGGAATTCAGTGGCTCCTCCAGGGGACTGGCTCTCTGTAGGGGCAGCACAGTGCTTTGGCAGAGCTGGGGAGCGTAGGCCACCTGGCAAGGGCAGCGGGAAAGGGCTTCGTTTCCCCGGAAGCACGTGTGTTTTCATGCAGCCAAGCCTGCGTCATTGGTTTTTCTGTCATGTGATACAGCAGCCTCAGCTTGTTTCTATGCAGTGGGACAACATGCACATCATCCTAGGTTAACTGCTTAAGCTTTCTTCATTTATTTTCAATAATATACCCTCTCATTTTCATCTTTAATATGGATAAATGGCTGAAAAATGCGACTGGAAATACAACTAAAAAATGTTTGAATAATGTGCAGCCTAGTACAAGTGAGAACAAGAAGATAAAAACTCCTTGGACCCGCAATTATTCTGATGAATATTTGAAATTTAGTTTTATAAAGTGTTGGTAGTGATAATCACTTGCCACTATGCCTAATGTGTCTCACAGAACTATCCAACGAGTACATGAAACCATCAAAACTGAAATGCCATTAGGAATGCAAACATCCAGATTACGCAAGTAAGCCCATAGATTTTTGCATAAATAGGAGAAATGAATTAGCTTTTGCTAAAAAAAGCATGAAAAGTGCACTTTCTATGGGCTCTTCAAATGAAAACTTTGTGTTGGCTTCATATGAAATTTCAAAACTAATAGCCGAGACAGGTTACCCGCATACTACTGGCGAAAGGTTAATACTTCCCGCATTGCATATTATTATATCCTGTATTTATGGAGGAAAAAAGGAAATCAGTTGGGTGCTCTGTCTTTATCCAATATTACAGTGAAACGTAGAATTGAAGAAATGGCAAAAAATATTGAAGGAATGCTCATTCATCGAATACAGAATAGTCAGTTTTTTCCATTACAAGTGGATGAAAGCACTGATATAGCTGACGCTGCCAATTTGATGTGTTTTGTTAGATATGATTATGAAAGCTCCATTCAAGATCTCTTATTTCATAAACTACTTCCAACAAGAACAACGGCTGCCGAAATTTTTAAGCTAATCAATGATTTTATTATTCAAAGCGATATTGACTGGAAAAAGTGTGTTGGACTGAGCAGTGATGGGGCTCAAGCAATGGCAAGGTCTCGCACTGGGCTTGTCCCGCGGATTCGAGCTGTAGCACCTGACTGTGTATAGGTGCACTGTAGTATTCACAAAGAGGCACTAGCGTGAAAACTATGCCATCACTTTTGAGTTCTACTCTTCAAGAATGTGTGAAATTTATAAATTATATCAAATCTCATCCTTTGAATTCCAGAATCTGTACTGCTTTGTGCAACGAATTAGGAAGTGAACATGAGCATCTCTTATTACACTGTGAGGTTTGATGGATGTTGAAAGGAAACATTTTGAAACAACTCTTTGAAATGAAGGATGTTTTATTGTTCTTGGAGCGACACCCTCCATCGGCAAAAGATGTTATATTTACATTTAAAGACAGGTTTCATGAATTTGATTGGTTAACAACGGTGGTTTACTTATGTGATATATTTTGTCTTTTAAATGATTTATGTTTGAATTTACAAGGCACTAAAATTAATATTTACAAAGTTCATGAAACAGTTGAGGCAACAATTAAAAAACTTTGTTTATGGGCACAGTGAGTTAACAAGAGAAACTTTAAGTCTTTTTGTACTTTAACTAAATTACAAGAAAAATATGCTGAAATTAATATCTCAGATGTGATTTCTGCAGCAATCCAAGAACACCTCTTGGGGCTAACATCAGGTTTAAATGAATATTTTCCTCCAATTGACACCAGTAAAATAAGGATTAAGAACCCGTTTACTGTTGAAACCGAAAATGAAGAAATACTACAATGACTGCATCAGAAGTAGATTCATTAATTGAACTTTCCTATGATTCTGCCTTAAAAGAGAACTTTGATAAACTCTCCTTGATTGATTTTTGGTTGAGCTGTAGAAATGAATATTCACATTTATCTGAGAAAGCAGTCAAATTCTTAATGCCTTTCGTCACGACATATAAGTGTGAAACTAGTTTCTCATCTTTGGTTTTCTTCAAAAATAAATATAGAAATAGATTGAATGTCAAACCAGATTTGAGGATAAAACTTTCTTCTTTTGTGCCTGACAAAGTTGCTATGTGATGCAAAACAACATCACTCTTCCCATTAGTTCTCTTTTTAGTTATTTAAAAGCTATAAAGAGCACTCAGATGACTTATATTCAACTCATTCAATTATAAGTAAACAAACTTCACAACTGTTAAAATTCTACTGGTTAAACTGTTATTAAGATTTATGTTATGTACTGTTGTTCTTGTGAATAAATAAAAAAACAGTAAAAATGTATTCATTTTTCATTTTTTTTAATATGCATTTATATTTTTGGGCTGCAAAAAACAGTACTAAAAAAATGGGTTCCAACTAACGTAAAAAATTTGGGAAACCCTGGTCTAGCCAGCTTTTTATCCATCTTACAGTCCACTTATCCAATCCATATCCATTTATCCAATCCATATTCCCTTAACTTGCTGGCAAGAATATTGTGGGTGACCATATCAAAAGCTTTGCTAAAGCTGGCACTGAGGAAGGCTTTGGGAGGACCAGCAACTTATTTGCATATTCATCATTTGCTTAATGAATATGCAAATATGCAAATGAATGTTACCAGTCCTCCAAAAGCTCCTAAATGGATTTACTGGTCCCCATGTCAAAAAGTTTGGGAACCCCTGGGTTAACTGATTAACTGGGATTTTGCATCCCTACAGATCACCATTATCTTCTGTACATAGTAAACATGTATCCACTAAAATTAATATTTATACAGTATAATAGATTGATAGAACTTTAACATAGGTATGATTAGCTAAAATCTTAATCCTGTAAACATTTACATACATGCTTAATTATAAGCATGCAAGTAGCTTCACTGAAATCAATGGGACTATTCTGCTGCATACACTTAGCATAAGTGTCTGTAGTAACAGGGTACAGGTTGAACCTCCCTGGTCCTGCACTCTAACCTGTCCTAATGAGGGGATCTGATGGATCAGAGGAGGTCCCCTGTCACCGGCCTCCCAGGACACTGCCACTCCCTCCGACTGCCTCTGCTCCAGCCCTGCTGCTACAGGGCTTGGTCTTGGCTCTAGTCTGCTTCTGCCAGCCAGGGCTTTCTGAGGACAGTGATCCTCAGGCACCACAGCCCCGCTTCTGTCCCTTCCCAGAGACAGGCTCCATGGCTGGCTGGGGCTCCCTGGGACAGGCCTCACCAGTCTCTCTGCTGCCCCATATGGAAGGGCTCCCTGGGGACAGGGCTCACCGTTCCAATGGTAGGGCTCCCCACTGATGGACTCCTGACTGGCTCACATTCCCGGGTGCTAGGGCTCTCTGGTCCAGCAATATTTGGACAGATCCTGCTGGACCATGGATGTTGCCAGACCAGAGAGTCCTGGATTTAGGAAGTTCAACCCATATAAGAAATATTCTAGGAGAAAATGAAGATGCAATTTGTGCATCATTTACAGTTTTTCACTAACTCATTATCTTTTTAAAGATAAGGAGTAGGGAGGGTATTATTTAGAATATGCATCTGTTAGAATGATTAAGCTGAATTTTTTACAAATATGGCCTATGATTTATGTACAAATTTATACTCAATAAGCCAAATTTTAAGATAATTATGTTTCAGCCTTCTTAGCTCCTCCAGCACTAGAGCTGCAAGTGAGGGGATGGGGAAAGCAGTCCAGACAGTTCCTCTGGCCCCAGGACTGCAGCAGAAAACTCAGGTGAAGAGTGTTCCTGAGGCCTTGAGGTCAGAAGAGCTGTCAGCCCCATGAGACACAGAAGCCAGAGGAGTACTCAGCTCTGTGACTTACCTTGAGGTGTCAATCATTGGCAACCTCCC